AACAAGAAGTCTAATCTAAGTAGACAGTTTTTTTTAAGAACGAGTACAGGGAAATATATGCAACATGTCATTGTGAAACATTTCCATGTACAAATCCAAATTTGCAAACGAGTCTGCAGTTAAAAGTTGACTGGTTGAAACAAACTAAGGCTCTACACAAGGTCACATATATGTTGTCAAAATGGAAAAGATTATTAAGCACAACAAAGACATTTATTCAACTGATGCTTTACATGAGCTGCAGCTAAAACTGTGGCGCAAAGTGGGAACGTTGAGGAAGGGAAACCCACAGGCAGCCCAGATGACTTTAACGCGTCAGGGCGGAAAACTTAAAGCAATAAACTTTACCAAGTGAGGTCCAATAAATCAGTGACCGGAAATGAGCGTTTCATCCAGAGAAGCCGAACATAAACTGCTGGGATCAGGTAAACACAAGACAACAAGAGTCCAGCGGGCTGAAGAGAAGCAGCCACGCACCCAGAGGATTTCTGCTTAAGCTCAGACACACACACACACACACACCTGTTTTAATCCATTGTAAAGTTGGCTGTGAGAAAGAGCTCAACATGAGGCTCCATCAGTCACTGAACCCGATCAACACATCAACTGATTAGATCTGTGAGGAATTCAAGGTGCAATTATTGTGAAAACCGTTTTACAAAATCAGGATGTTTCCGTTCTTATCCATGAATTCACTTATTTTATTTATTATTAATTAAATGTATTTGCGCTGCAATAATTTTAAATGGTTTTAAATTGTTAACTCTAAAGGAAAAGTGATTTTTTTATTTTGTTTATTTATGACTTTTTTAACATGTTAATGTCAATCTTAATCGATTTATAAGTGATTCCTCTCCAGTGGAGCCTCATCAGAGCCGCTATCAGCCAACAGCATGTTGAAACAACCAAATAAATTATTAGCTCTGTGTTTTCGTGAGGAAAAGAAGAAGAAGAAAACTCTGCTCTTACTTTGACTGTCAAATTTCCTGATGATAGTATCCAGGAAGGTGTTCTGCGGGGCCACATGGCCCCTCCGGACCGGCATCTTCGCTGCGGTGGCCGCCGGGACTTTTAAAGACTTTCCGGGTTCTTTGGATAAGATCACACCGAGTTTGGCTCTTCAAGCCCCGCTGAGCGCGCGATGCTCACTGCGCTCCCCTCCACACTGAAAGCAGATCAGGATGGGAGGCGAAGGGGGGCAAAGTTTCCCGGGTGTTCAGGTGGGCTCTGACTCCTGAAGGGTTTGGGAGTAAAAAAAAAATATATAGAAAAAAAAAGACAAAAAAAAAAAAAAACAAGAGAGTTCTGGAAAGGAGGCGCGCTGTAATGCGCGGAGGATCGAGCGGCTTCCAGCCTCCAGGCTGGGACCCGGGCGGCTGTCCGTCTCTGGTCCGCCGATGCTTCTCTCACACCCGGAGGAGCGCAGCGCGGCGCTCATCCTGCGCGTCAGCCCGCTGCTTGGAGGCGGACTGGGCGAGTTCTCTGATGATCACCGTTGGAGCCATAGTTGGAGGCGCTGGGCTGAGCGTTTCTATTTATTTCTCTCTCACTCACTCACTCACTCACTCCACCTCCTCTTTCTTCTCTTTGTTTTGCCTCTGAAGCTCCTGGTGTTTGGCTGCAGAGGGGGAAAAAAGAGCGGAGTGATCATTAAAGGAAAACAGCTGCGCGCAGGTCGACAGCTTGAATCGTCCTGCATGTGTGTGTGTGTGTGTGTGTGTGTGTGTGTGTGTATGTGTTTGTGTGTGTGTTTTAGAAGGTGTTCTGTGGATCTCTCCTCCTCCTCGCTGTGCGCGCTGCCGGATGACTTCAGCTCCCCTGGCGTCTAGCTGCGCCTCTTTTTTTTAACCCTTTGCGCATCAGAGCGGAGCCCATCACACACCTTTGGTGATGGACAGGAAGGAAACCACGCGCGCGCTCACCTGTCCTGATGACATCTCAGGCCCCAAAACAAAACAACAGGAATTCAATTGAATGGTTTAAAAATAACCGCCTTCGCATGTCATTATGCAGCTTTTGGAATGATTCTCGTGATAGAAAATCCTATGAAAGAGGCCGATCTGGAGCCGCCTCAGGTGGGACTGGAGGCCCGGGGCGGCGCCAGGCAGATCCGATAGGACGGATTCCTCCTCCACTACCTGCAGCAGCAGGTTGGAGACGGACGCCTGAGGTTACCAGGTGTTCCGCAGCGTCACCTGCCTTCTTTCTTAAAGCAGCAAAATAAAAAGCAGTTTACGCACAGCCACCTCCCCGGTTTCTCCCCTCTATTGTACTGCCCTGCTCCGCTCTGTGCCATGCATGCTCTCAAATGTAGAAGGGAAAAAAAGAAGGTTTTTATCGTTTACGAAAATGAAGGAAAAAAAAATAAAGCACCTGCGCAAAAACAAAGCGTCTCCTCCGTTGCGCCAGATTTTTTTGTGGTTTTATTGCGGGTTTTGTGGAAGTGCGGCTGCGGCGCGTCTGCAACCTGCTTTCTTCGGGGGCTGGACGGGGACTCACCACTCAGCCTGCTCAGCTACGTCACACCGCCGGGGTTCCCCCCTTCCGTCATGCTGGAGATGATGCGTTCAAGTAAAGCGGGAAATTATTGCTGTGCGTTTGGATGAGGCGCATGTGTGTGTGTGTGTGTGTGTGTGTGTGTGTGTGTGTGTGTGTGTGTGTGTGTGTGTGTGTGTGTGTTTTAGAAGGTGTTCTGTGGATCTCTCCTCCACAGAATGAAACGGTTCTGCGTTCCCTTCAGTTCACATTGTGTCTCACTGAGATGTTAAACTCACACCGACCGCATCTCAGACTATTCCTTCTGTTTATTCTGTTTTTAAGCTGTGATCGGACTCGGAAAGACCGGCGGGACATGACGAACAGGCAGAAAGACCATCCATCAAAGTGTGACATTTTGGTGCGTATTAAAAATGCATCAGTTGGTGATCCTGTTACACCGAGCGGCAGAGCGGCGAAAAGCCGGGAGCCGGCCGGACAGCTTCCCCTCCTTCCAACTCCCTTATTTAGTCTGGAAAAGAGAAAAGCAGGGAGGGAAGGATGGAGGAGGAGAGAGAAAACGAGGAGCAAAAGAAAAATATGGTTTATTTTCAAAGAATGGACGGATCCAAGGCTGTAACGCTTGTTTTTTGTTCACACTGTCTGCACACATGAGTAACGGTCACCACAGATCCTTGATGTGCTCTTGCTACATTTCACTTTCACATAAAACTTCTTTAAGCTGCCAACTTTAATAAGTGGAGAACATAAACAGCAGATTATGTTGAACCTGCATGGAGAAAAAAGAAGTGGGACTCAGACAGGAAACTGATGTATTTTGTTCTTGGCCTTTTAAGGACCGTGTAAAAAAAAAAAAAAAAAAAAAAAAAAAATCTATGATGCAGAAAGAGAAATTATGGATTTTGTTTTTATTTATTGCTAAAGACTCTCTTATCTAGTGCTTCTAAAATCTAGGTTTAAACCAGGGACATGACGGCCGTTTTGTCAATATGGTGTCAGCAATAGCTTTGACCTGGGGCACAACTACATATTATTCAGTGGATGTGAAAACATAAATCGGCGTCTCCCCCCCGCCCCCGGTACGTAAGGGTGAAGGAGCGTAGAAAACATACGGTCGCTCTATCCGTATGAGCGACCGTATGTTCAGCCTGGCCATACAGAAACAGCCAAGGGGCCACAGATGGCCCTCGAGCCACACTTTGGACACCCTGCATGAGCTGAAAAGAATAACAGGAGCACCAAAATGTAAGAGTGCAGCAGACTGATGGATCTAGTGTGAGGAAAGATAAAAGAGAGCTAAAACACTGACAAAAGGTACCAGAAGAGCTAATTACAGGTGAGTGGTTGCAGCTGGGGAAGGGAGCAGGTAGAGGCAAATGATTAACAGCTGAGAGGGAAGTAAAGTAAAGAGAATGAGAAATAAACCTATAGAAACAGTAAATGGAAAGAAACATGAAACACAAACAAGAATGAACTGAACCAGTAAGATAAGAGGGAATAAACAAAGACATGATGATAATAAAAGTCTAAACGTGAACATATCACCGAGCTGCTCAGAGCATGTTTTATAAAAATGTATGCTGATGACACCATGGTTTATGTTCAGCCTGTTGGTTGGGTTCACTCTGCTTCCAGTCAGCTTCAAATGTCACTCAGTAACGTTACGTTGCTCCTGAATCCAAAGACAACCAACGAAAATGATTTAATGAGCATCGACACAGTTTCTGTTACCTCGGACCAGCAGGCTGACACACTGACAAATCCTACAGCGAAGTGTGTGAGGTGAAGTACAGGTGCTGCGCTACGTGAGGGATAGGTGCACTTCACATTATAGATGGAACAATAAAACATATGTAGACATTTTGAAGTAGAATATCAAGACATTAGCCAGAAAGTTGAAGGTTGGGGACACAGGAAGCTTTCAAAATGTAGAAAGATTCCAACCTAGAACATCAACAAATTAGTTACAAAGAGGCCAAAGAACAAAAACTAAATAAATTAAATAAAAAAGTGAATGTTTGGCAGCAGTCGCCATGAAACCCTGATCTCAGTTCTATGGAAAATTTGTAGTTGGAGCTTAAAGGTCTGTGTGTGAACAAGGCAGTTTGTGAACTCAGTTAAACCAGTTCTGTTAGGATGAATGGAGTAAGGCAAATTCAAATTTATGAAAAGCAGGAAAAGTTTAGACTCACTTAAGAAAAAAAGGCTGTTTTGTTATGAACATATCAGGCTTCTCATTGGTCAGATCCTCCTATTACTACCTGCTCTTTTTCCATCATGAAGGTTTCCTCTTGTTCTACTTTGCTTTTAGTTTATTCTTATTTTTTTCTTGGAATTTTCTCGTCTTTAGATTCTACCTGCTTCCTGTCATCTGTGTTCTTCACCTCTACAATCCATCACAGCTCCATGACACACTAATGAGAAAATGCTGAGTCATTCACTTCATTTCCTCATGTCAGTGACTAGTCATGACTATCAATGAAAAACAAACGACAGGGAGAATAACTTCCAGAATAAGCATTTTTTATTGATAAACTCAACAGTTGGAAACAAGAATACTGGCAGCAGACATAAGATACTCATGAAACATCTCTTAATGCGTAAACAGGTTATACTTGGATCAAACTATAAACACTCAGTAGAAAAAGACTGTACAGGAAGAAGAAGCTGCAGAACTTGAAACTACGTGGCGCAGTGTGTCCTTCAAGAGCCGCTTTCACTCGTCTGTCCATCCATCTGCTCATCCAGGAAACATCCATTTATCACAGAGCTGGCTGTCAGAATGCTGCTTCACTCAGCGTGGGGTTCAGACTGTTCCCACTCTACCTGACACACACTCATCCACACACACACACGCACACACACTCGAGCCACAAACTCAGCTCAGCGTTTGGACACGTCGCCTCCTGTGAAGAGAGGAAACAGGGAAGTGATGCAGGCTGGCTTTGCTGCTTCACACAAAACAAAACAAAAAACAAAATAAAAAAAAAACATTTCCGTCCTACAGATTATAACAAACATGACTTCCTACAGGTTCTGTGTTTTGGTAAGAATCTACAGAGGTCAGTTAGATTTTATGTTTCAAATGATGTGTGTTTTGTGTGTGTGTGTGTGTGTGTGTGTGTGTGTGTGTGTGTGTGTGTGTGTGTGTGTGTGTGTGTGTGTGCATCTACAGCTCTGGAAAAGTTAAGAGCCCACTGCACTGAACCTCATTGAAAACCTCCTGGTTTTTCCACCAATTATTCATTTCTGAACTCTTCCTGAGTTCAAACATTAGTATTGTTGTTTCTAAATGAACATGAACTTATTTTCTTTGCATTATTTGAGGTCTGAAACCATTTTTCATTTACTGCAAATAAATACTAATTCCAATTTCTGCTTGGAATTTCAGAGACATGTCAGTAGTTCAGAATAAAAGAACAATGTTCATTTTACTCAAACATAAAGAATAAAATCAGAGAAACTGATCATTTTAACTGGTCTCTTAATTTTTTCCAGAGCTGTACATGTGCTCTCATTTTTGCATGTGTGTGTGCATGGGTGTGTGTGTGTGTGCATTAGAGACGGATTGTCCCTAAAAGTGGAGCTGTCAGGCGTAATGTGTGCAGCAGAGTAGCTGTGGGAGGTGGTGGGTGATGCTTTCCAATTAACTAACGCAATTAACCAGGTTGATTAATGGTTTAACATGCAACTCCTTCAGAGGTCGGAGCTCTGCTTTCATTATTCATGAGCATGAAAGGCTAACACCTGTTTAACCGAGACTTCAGTGGATGTGCATCTACTACATATATGAAAATGCCAGTGGCTGCATGTTTATGTTTGAGCCCAGAGTCACTGACTGGATAATTGGACTGAACATGAGTGGAGTTATATAATTATTGAGAAGTAATTAAGTATTTGAAAAGTTTGAAAAAGAAAAATCAATATTGTAGCCTTTTCATTTAAATCACATTTTACCTAGCTTCTTCATGTGGCAATCTGACAGTAACTTTGTGGACTGTCAGATTCTTTTTACATTTTTCTCTGAGATTTTTTATATGTATAAATGGGTTTTATTAACAGATAAATTAATGTATTCATAAAACAAATTTACTCATTTTTCTAGATATGAATGTCTGAGCCAAACCACTAATGATGGTGATCCATTCTGATGTCAGAGCTGATAAGAAATCATAGATTCAGGAACTCCTGGTCGTTCATGGATCATCTTTAGAAGTGTGGACTGTGGATGTTAGCTTCAGGGACGTCTGAGCTACTGCTACATGTTTACCACTGATATGCTGTTTTAGGCTTGAGTAGCTTCACTGACAGGCTAACTCCTTTTAGCATAACTTGAACACAACAATAGGCTTTTCCAGCATCTCAGATCGTTCATGAACAATGATGAGCCCCCTGTGGACAAAGAGAAGCAGCTTTGTCATCCATCATTGTTTGCAGATGTCACTTGTGCGTCAGATTTACAGATGTACCAGAAACACAACACATAATTCCAGCTGGGGACATTTGTGTGCAGAAAATAAAAATAAAATAGAGAACGGGTTGAATTTTTCTTTTACATGTTTAATTCTACTATTAATTAATTGAAAATAACACTCTCAATTCTTATGTATTATTTTAAAATTAGATTTTTGTTTTTAGCTGAAGCTATTATTTGAATTATTAGAATTTGAATTACTGAAATAAATAAACTTTTTTGTTCACCTTTTAATTTAGATTCCCTCAAGTAAATGTAATACTCAAGTTAAATTATGTAGGAAATTATTCTGTCAACAGTTTCTATATAACTTCCCATGACAAAAATGTTTTTTTTATGTAACAGCTTTCATTTCTCTTTCTTCAAAAAGATGAGGAAAAGGCATAATTAATGTGGCTTTATGAAGAACAATGGTCTATAGGAGAAAATCTCTGACCTTTCACTTTGTTTGAAAAGCATGTAGTTGGCTACAAGTCAGCACTGTGCACTCATCTGTCTTTTGTGTAAAGTCTTAGCATATGCCTCATTTTCATACTGACATGAGAGACAGATATGCAAATCCCCCGGCCCAGTGTTCCTCACCGTGGCAGCTGGTGCACTCGCAGCTGGTAATGACTGGTAGGAAGACCTGCTCACTTTCTCCGCTCACGCAATGCAGGTTGAGGAAGCGGACCGGTTTCACCAGGTCCAGCTTGTAGCTGCAGCACTCGCACTCTGAGCGGAGGTGGGGCTCCTGCATGTGGAGAGGAGGGAGAAAAGCAACAGTAAAGAGAGGAAGAAGGTAGTAAAATGAGAACCAGACTGAAACAGAGGACCCTTGTTTTGTAGCTAAAAGTGCTATCATGTTAGCTTTTCTTGCCATGAATGGTGGCATAAGTGAAAATGTGTTTTAGTATCGTTTAAACATTAAGAAATAGAGCAAATTTAGACAGACACAGATGTAGATGGATAGAAAGATAGATAAACTATATCACTAGCTAGATGGAAAGAAATAGTTAGCTAGATAGATAAGCTACATAGCTACCCATGTAGCAGACCGACCTGGCCCGGATCTGGCATTCTGCTGGCACATCTGGCAAACCTTTGGCACGGCAAACTGGATGTCAATCACACCCAGGCCACCAGGTCTGGCAATGATGGCACGGTTCACACATGGCATGCAACACATGGGCCAGATCTGTCCATGCCAAATACGGGCCAGTTCTGGAAGTAGTTATGTCACCCATGTGGCGGACAATTCATTTTCTCCTAAGTCTAAAAGTGGTGATAATATTACGAAACATTTGTACATTTACCAGATGAAAGGACTTTTAACCACAAGAATAATATGGCGCTCTCTCTCTCTCTCTTTCTCTCTCTCTCTCTCTCTATATATATATATATATATATATATATATATATATATATATTTATTTATTTATTTATTTATTATCTCTTCAATCCCCATAGTCTGGGCAAAGGCCTGAGAAACCATGTTTCCAAATGTGGCTTTTAAGTTTTGAATGACGTTTGAGCTTCACGTTGTGCTCCAGAGACCTGCAAACATCAAAGCTAGCTAGTTAGATTGAAAGATGGCTAAGCTAGATAGTTCCATAGATAGATAAACTAAATAAGCTAAATAGAAACATGTCAAACTTTATTTATGTCCCAGTGGGCATTTAATTTTACAGCAAGACACAATAAAAACAACAACCTCGAGTCCTGTCATATGTTAAAAGTCTGTCAACAGCTTTTAATGCTCACCCATACTGTATAGTGCATATATACTGGGATCAATGGTGTGAAAATCAGTGTTTAACTGTGAGGATGGGGTGTTTTAGTTTATGCCAGTTTTAGCACCAGGTGATTGTGGCTGACTCAATAAACAGGGTGGATACTAAATCTCAGACAAGGATGGAACATAACAAATAGCAAAGGCTGGCATCTAATTTGAGTCAGCTGAAAAGGGCAAAATTAATGTCAAACTTAATTGTTTAAAATGAACAATAACCACTCAATGTTTTAGTAAATCGAAAGACAAACCGTAACAACACGTTCTTTTACTTATGTTGTCCATTTAATGGTCCAATTAAAACATCCTCAATCCAGACAACAGGTCAGCCCTTGGTGAATGAAAATAAAACTTTTCTGTGCTGCCTAGTCACCATTTCAAATTCCTGGTTGCCATGGAGATCAGGCAGAGCTGATGTTTATTTTTACTCATCTCCCTGGAGTAACTGACATTATTTTATTTCTTTTTTCCACAACAATGAATGTGTGGATGCCAAGGAAGATTGGTGTCACCATAGTGATGAGTTTGCTGTTTTAAAAGGATGAAAAGACAAAATCAAGGAGAAAGGAAAAACAAGATAAGTACATGCATTTCCCATGGCTCATCTATCCATTAATGAATCATGAACCTTTGTTTTGAAGACATGTGAAGGTTCTAAGTTGAGCAGATAACTTAGTTTGAACTTGGGAGAGTATTTAGAAAAATGTATGTGTTAAACTTTGTTTTATTTTATAAAAGCACACTAAAGAACCTTGAGGTGGATCAAGCTTTACAGACAAATGGAGAAATTTGACGTTATAGCAGGTTTCACCAGTATATAACATTTAAATAATATAAAATTTCAGTCGTATGAAAGTCACTTGTTCAGACAGAAAGATTGTCAAAATACGCGAATGTGTCTTCATCTCATCTGCCCATACCTCCATGATGACATCAGTCCAGGACAGACAGCGTCCCCTGCAGAAGCTGACCTCCACGTTGTCAAGTCGACAGTCTCCCTTGGTGATGTTCCGGACCTCGACGTAGCGCCTGCACTCCGCCCCAGGCTCACCTGGTGGAAACAGAGACGAGGATGAGGACAGTGGAGAAGACACAGAGAGACGAGGAAACGCAGCAAAAGAACAAAATCGTTTAGTTTCTGCATAAAAAAAAAACAGAGGGATGATATGAGGGGAAGGAAGGGCAGAGAGCACGGTGACATTGCCCTGCCCTCCCAGCATGTGACATTTCTTCCACAGGGAGACAGATTAAAGCCCCACTGTAGGCTAAGTAATGTAATCTCTCACTAATTGGGGACTGCAGCACTCAGTTTTTACCCTTTTAGAAAATGAAGAATGGAGCATTCACATCCACTGACGTGCTTTGGAGGCCATCACCATTAAGGCTGTTTCAATATGTGCTTGTCAGAACAGTTTGCTTCACATTAGCATCATCTGCTTTGTTCTGTGTCCCAATCCGTATAAACTCCCAAAGAGTTGATCCACGAATCCAGACACAGCGCTAACGTCCTGCATGTTGCACTGACCTGTGAACTGTTTCCTGCAGACTGGACAGCAGCTGCCTGGTTCCTCCACTTTCACTTCCCCCTGAGAAGGAGATGATGATTACTTTAGCATAGTTTTCAAATTGTCTACTGAAGATTGTAACTTTTAAAAACCACAAATTGGGGTCAATCCAGTCGGCCACGGAACCGAAGACCAATATTCTATATCATAAATGTTGAAGTCATAGAATATTATTAGGCCTGCCACAAAAATCAATAAATCAATTAATCACATGATCATATGATGAATTGATCCGTTGACATGATTTATCCTTTATCTCCTTTTTTTTTGTCTCTTTCTACCAAAAACTGGATGGTAAAAGTCTTTGAGTTTTGTGCTTTAGTCTGAACTAGTCCTTATTTTGAGGGACAATTTTGTTTACAAAGACTTCAAAATTCATTTTATTTGTTTTGTTTATTTTGTATATTTTAAAAAGTCTTCCAGTTCCAGTGTTAAATGTTTAATGATCTGTCAGAATGTGCTCTTGCATTATTATTTTGCCATTACCATCATATTACTTAAAAATAGTCTCAAAACAACAATATTTTCCTTTATTGCAATAACTTCAGGAACAGTTTATCCAGAAATTTGTTATCTTCACAGGCCTAAATATCTTGCAGCTATATATAAATAAACAAATATATTAAAAGCAAAATGTGGGAGACACTGATGTTTGGATAGTTTTTTATGTTGCATGGATTTTTAATAATAATCAAAGGGTAAAGGAAATCCAGTTGATAGAATAGGTTTCATCAAGTCTTCAACAAACGTCCCACTGTTTGTTCTGTTCAGAGTGACAGTACCACCACATTTGGACCACATCAGTGATGGCATTTACTTTGGAAGTTATTTGTATTTTCTATTTTTAATTAATAGGATGAAAGCTTTACCTAACCTCCCTCCAACCTGTCAATAATTTTTCATCTGATAAATTTCAGATAATTTTATTCAAATCTATAACTCTACCACCACCTTAAAAAAAAAAGAAAAAAAGCCTACTTTAGGTTTTTCTTAGTCGTGTCTTAAATGTAATCATCTCATCAAAATCAAAGTAGTAAAAACATTGAGTCTCTGTACTTTAGAGAACCATCATCATACAACATTGGTTTTCTTCTTGCAGCATACTGTACGTGTTTGGATGTTTTGATGTCAGTGTTCTTCATGTTGTGGGATTTTGTTTGTTAGATGTTTTAGTGAACTGAAAACTCTTGGAGACTTTGCCTGATTTGGAAAGGTGAACTTGTTGACCTTCAGCTAGGAAGATCCCAGAGATTTCCTCTGCTTGCATAAGTTTGTGTCTGAGTGTTCAGTGTTTTCTCAAACTTTCCAAACATATTAGATTATATTTCATTAGTTTGGTTGAATTAGATTAGCTGTTCATTTTTGATCAGTTGTAAAGTCAGGGACATGGCTATCTGTCTCTGTGTGAGGCAGACAGTAGCTGCATTTCCATTAAAAATGTGCGCAAAGTGAAAAAACACAATTTCACAATTGCTGTGTTTCCATTAAGTAAGAAACGCAATTAAAATCACACAGGAAAAAAATTCTACATGCGATAAAAACATGCTATACCATCATCCTCCTACAACGACTTCCTGTTATCTTCTTCGTGGTCTGCGCCAGTGGTAACATCTGGTTGTTGATCATGTGACTTGTGTGATGTGAAAAGAGTGTTTCCGTTAACTTTTTTGGGAAAACAACCAATGTTGACGCAGCCAAAGAAATCACCTCATCCAAACTTTTTTATCAAAGAAACGAGTTTTTTCAAAAGCGGCATTTCCATCACGAGAATTTATTTTCAAAATCTCAACCGCAGCTACTGTTGACTGAATAAAGCTGATAGAATATCTCCATAGACAAATGCTCAACTGGTTTTGGGTCACACTACACACCCACACACACACACACACACACACACACACACACACACACACACACACACACAAATAAAATTAGTTGACTTTTCTCAGAAAAATTCTAGGACATACCCTAGAATTACAAGACGATATTGTTTTCTTCTTTTTCTATGTTCTATTGTCTATGTTAGAGAAACCAGGGTGGAAAGTGGCAAAAGGGACAAAAATAAGACACAAATGAGGAGATTAAAAATAGTACGGAGGAGACAGGGCTGCAGGAACACACAGGAGGGAGTGTGAAGGAATGACACTGCAAAGGAGAAGATATGCAGGACAGTCACCAAGCAGACAATGAAATGTGTGGTGCTGTGTGATACCCAGGGCTGACAAAAGCTGCTGGGAAAGTCTAAGAGTAGACTTTTGCATTGTGGCACCTCAGCATCCTTCACTGCTCTGTGGCACCTAAACATACACAGACATCCAAAAACCCTTTTATCCTCTGCTGTGCCACAAGACCACTTCAGGCTCTGGAGTTTTTAATATGAGAAATGTGGGAAAAGATGGAATAATAGTAGAGGTTAGTGTAAAATATTTGCAATGCCAGTCAGGACTTTACCTGGACTCATCATTATTTATTTTTGGCCTTTATAAAAATGCATTGGAGCTGTTCCTTTTCATGGGTAAAGGATTTATACAACACACACAATGTCTTGTTAAGACAAGAATAACATGATAAACATTAATGCAAATTTTCAGTAAGTAATATGTTCACAATCTTGGAGCCATAAACATCCAGTTCCACCAGTACAGGCAACCAAGCATGCATCATCAACAGAGGGTAAACAAAGCAGTTCACTCTGTGTAATTTAACAATCTACAGAGCTTTCAACCACTTACTAACAATGAGACTGATGTCACAAAAGAACAAAGTTAATAACTTCATATGGTGGCTCTCTTCCAGGCCATAGCAGATAGGAAAGTATGTATCTGCTTTCCAACGCTCCAGTCAGGCCAAAATAAAATCAGCTGCTGGGTTTCCCAAACAAAACATTCACATTCTTCCCTGCCTGCTTGTTTGTTGTTTCTTTGTTCAGGTGACCGGCCAGTCAGTGCAGCCGGTAATGGTACCTCACACAAAGAGGAAGGAATATAAAAAAGAAATGGAGAGTAGCTCCAAATTCAAATGGCCAGGTAGCGAGACAAAGCTTGGATAAAATAGGATGTTCCGGTAAGGCAATGACCCCAAACACACATCAGCGCTGGTTCTGAAACATTAACACTCTGGAATGACCATGACCTTAACTATATTAAAAATGTGTGCAATTCAACAAAAGAATCTGTAGTTTCTCTGCATCTTGCTAAGGGACATTTAAATATTAAAGTATCCTAATATTCTTTAGCTTGTATGTTTACATTTGAGTCGTTTTACCTTCCATTTTGAAAACTCATCGAATGTGTTTGTTGTATAATCATCCGTGTCTGGATCTAATGGATGACAAAGAGTCTTTGTGTTTGAGAGGAAAACCTCCTGACAGGTTTTCTCACCAGCTTTGATAACACGTTCAGTTAAACTACCCAGAACAAGGAGCTCAAAGCTGACTCATAAATCACTGCATGCTGACAGAAAGCAAGTGTTGAGATGGAAACCAGCAGGCATTAAATGACCTTTCCGTACCGACTGAGGTGTAACTTCACGGAGGCATAACTCAGAGAAAACAGGAAGGAATTTTTGAGAGTGTCAGACGGAATCATTGCATTGGCCCATTTACTTTCATCACTGCCTACGTACAGCAACCATGAGCTAAAAATACCTATTCAGGTCACAGTGTCAAGAATGAGATGGCAGATTTTGCCTGCTGTGGCTTATTTTGAACTTGCCCTCCAAGGGGAAGTTTTTTTTTTTTTTATAAGGCCTGAAAAGTTACATTTTCTCCTCCCTTCATCTAAACTTACAGGTAGGTGTGTGATGACAAATTTGATTCTGCTGAGGTTGATATACCATGTTGTAGCCTAATGCATGCACTATGGTTAAATTTAGTGCTTCAGTGTTTTAGCATTAGCTTTTGCTAAATACTGTGATGGTATAGCACTTTAGTGTTAGCAGAACTAATGTTTATGATCAGTGTTTAAGGGTTAGCACAACTAACTTTTTAGCTAGCTGTCCCAAGTTGCTCCTGAGTATTGGTGAGCACGGCTAGCAGTGTGTTGGTATAGTGCTTTAGCCATAATGTTAGGAGAACAAATGTTTATTATTAGTGCTTTAAAGTTAGCACAAACTTTTAGCTAGCTGTCCCATGTTGGTTGGGACATTGTTGTGGGAAATTTGATGTAAGTGTTGAATCTGAATCTGGCCTGACTCACAGTGTCATAGTGTATCTGAGAAAAAACTGAACAAGCTAAGACAAATCTAGCATTAAATGATAACATTTCTTAGCTCTGTTAAAGAAGTGGAGTTTATCTAGAATAAACCAATACAAAAGAATTGCTCAAAAAGAATTTGAGTAATATATTTTTAAAGGCTAAGTAACAGGGAAGAAAATCTAACTATATTGTTACTGATACAAGGCAATCAGTGGATAGGAGAATAAAACTTGAGGCTTTCAGCTTTGATCAAATACAGGTTGAATTAGCCTGAAATTGAACTAATCTTATGAAGTAAAGACGGCGCTTTACAGGAACTGAGACAGTAAGGAAAACAGTTAAGTCTGGTATTGATCCGCTTCAGCCGGTGACTCTTAGAGAACATCTTCCTTCCCCTTCAGGGAAGACGGGTCATTTTAGCCAAAGCCACCAGACCACCAGAGACATTCGGTGGACTGTTCCATTCTGAGGTCAAGGCTTAACATGTTTTAGAAAGACTCGCAGTGCACCTTTCTCTCTGGGTCACCTGTTTGAGTACAAGCTAAAAAACTTTACTCTGACTTCACCACACAGTATTTAGTTGGATTTTACTGGTCTAGATCTGACAATGTTTCCTGGTGGCAGAGAATTGTTTTATCTCAGTGAATTCAAAAGCGTTCTGTGAATAATAATAATAATAATAATAATAATAATAAGTGACGAAAGATAAATTATCACAGATCAATGATGGAGCTGCAAATTCGTCTGAATGCCATTACTCAAAGCATTTTATCCTAAATAACAAATCAGAGGTCGCCATGACAGCGCTTTCTTTAGCTCCTGAGTCATCAAACTTCCTGACTAATCTCGACTCGCACCACCTGCTGTTAGTGTCGTCTGTGATTTTATGTCAGCTGCTCTCTAACTGTAATGCCAGCCAGTTGTTATAAAATTATGGCCTATTTTGATATTGTTGATCTTTAACAAGAAAATCATGTTTACTGTTCAACACCTAAGCATTCTGCCTTAACATGAATTAGTTCTGCCTCATTTGTCATATTTTGTCTGAAATAGAGTCAACGTCCATATATACATCACAGCATCTTTAGCAGATTAGTGCATAGATTATGCCATTGCAACAGTTTTATTCTTTGCTGTTGTCCTTGCCCATATAAAATTAACTTTATTTGTAATGGCTGAATTACCAAAACATCTGCTCTCGTCTACAGTTTTGAATAATTTCCTAGTCTTAAAGCAAAAACGAGTCTGAAATTTGGAGACACGACTTGATTTTTTTTGCTTGATTTTATCTCCGATTCTCAGTTGGGTAAAACCTGCAGTAGTTGTGGTCAGTGGGTGAGTTGGCTTCAAAATCTGTCAGTGCGAGATGCACTGTGTCATGGTTCCTGCGTAATTTAGATTTAGAACCACAAGACTTTCCTGTAGAAACATGTTAGAACAAAATATCCGTTGCTGTGGGGTAAAACAGAGACCGCAGCCTGGTGGGTGACATTCAGCTCAGTGAATGGCAGCATGTAGTTTGTTATTTCACTGCTGTTTGAGCCAATTAGTGTTCAAATATATATCTAAACGATCTAGTATTGACAAATTATCCGTGATGTTTCTGCTCCGTTATGCCTGAATGGTTTCAGTAAGGTTATTGAAAGGACGTATTTTTAAATATTTGGCATAAGCCCAGTGATATAAAGGAAAATCTAAGGTTCAAACTGTGAACATTTTGCAGAAACAATATTAGCATTGGCAGCACATTACCTGGTTAGGTAAATCTTTTATTCATTTCTGGTTCTCACCTCTTCGCAGTAAAGTGGAGGACACTTCGCCTGGCACAGCGTCCTCCCGTTCACACAGCTGCATGAAAGACAGCCCTCTTCCCACTCCGATCCCGCCTGCCTCACACACACACACAGCAAAAAACACACACATTATTACATTGACTAGTAAAATCTAAGTTTTTATATGCCATTTTTCTAAGAATAGGAAATAACATTTCTACCACTCATGGTTAATGTTTGTGTGGAGTCATTAATTATCAAAACCTTGTGTTTGCTGTGTGAGAATCATAATAGAAACATGTCCCTGAACATAACTTGCAAAACCCAATAATGCGCATTGGCCTACTTAACGTCTATTGGAGCCTGAGGTCTTTTATGGCGGTCTGGTTGAGGCGTTTGATTTTCTCAGACGGTGAATCGGCCCTGTTTATCTTGACAAAAGGTTTTTCTAAAGCTGTTTCACATAAATAGGAACCTACAAAATTTATTTTCGTCCCCAAAACGCAACTTTTCTGCTTTCATTTGTCTGGAGCCCACTTTTTTCATTCTAACCATCGTCAATGAAAATAACAAGAGTTCTACATTTAACTCGTGTTATTTAACTTTACAAATATAACAATATAAGGCCTGTGGTTCAGCAGATCCCTGGGGGATTTTGTAAGACATTTAATAGTTCTGACCTGACATTTTTCTTAAAAGACAAAACAAACCCATAATTTGCTCCATTGTATACAGTTCTTTACCACTTTTCGCTATTTTTTTCTTTTTATTTCATATTTTTCTGCTATTTTATAGTACACTCAAGTAACTGTGTTACCTTCAGCTTTTTACAGCAAATAAAAATAACCTGACGTTGCCATTAGATGCCTTGAAATTAACCTCAGCAGGAAGCTCCTGTTTTATCTGACACTCCTTCAGCATGAAACACAACAATGCTCCTCCATTGTGTTGTTTACAGCCGTTCTTAGGAGTGTATGAACTTGTCACACAATGAACTCAGCAGACGTGCGTTTGCTAATGTGCTGCTGCCGCTAGTCAGATAAAAAATAAAAAATAATGGAGCTTTTCCGCCTCCTGGCACCGCTCCTACTGCCATCTGCAGGAATGCACCACACCTGGTCATGAACAACCAATTAGCACATTGACCATACACAAGCCTGATTGACTGCGCTAAGACCCTCCTCCTGGCTCTGATTGGCTGTTTCTGTATTTCTGCAGATGGGAGTCTGACCACACAGAGGAGGCGAAGGAGCTTGATATTATTTTCACAGAATATGTGTCTCATGTTACACTGTCACCACATAGTGATAGTTTCAACAAATATGTAAAAAACAAAAAAAACAAAAAACATATTGTTTTTAAAAGTTCTATACTGCAGCTTTAACATGACAAACTGATCCAGTTTTATGGATTATGTTAAATCTAATCAGGTCTTAATAGAATAATCAAATTCACTTCAATACAAACCAGTTATATACTCAAATCAGAGCCAGTTCCATTCATTTCAATCTTAATTATTCATTATTACAAGTTTCCCTCATGAGATGTTTCTGCTCACACTGAGCCGTACCATGTAGCAGGCATTTGGTGGTCAATTAAACAAACAAACAAAAAAAAACTTCAGAAGAACAGGAGTCAACCCTATGTGACAGAAAGCACAGAGGGAAAGAATCAGCTGCTCCACGAGAGAAATAAAGCCGACCTGTCAGAAAAGAGAGAGGGAAAGAAAAGAAGAAAGACTTATCAAGGTAAGGGTAGCAGAACTCTCGTCAGTGTGTGATTAATTCAGCAACGCTCTAATATCCCTTCTTTCATGAATAATTCCTGGCAGGCTTGCCCGGTTGCGGCTGGAGAACAGGCTTTCCACGGGGCCCCGCTGCATAATGGATGAGGCTGAGGGGACGGAGAGGCCTTGTGGTGTAATGTGGCCCCTGAGCCTGATCGCTCATGTTCCTACAGGCTCTTCTTCTTCATGAGTAAACACCACGATGAGGACGAACGGTGCGAAATGCACAGTCACACGGCTACAATGGGAACAAGCTGCCAGCTTCACTGGCCATCAGGAGTCTGATTACCTCCACTGTGAGCACAGATGTGTGTGTGCACGCGTGTGTGTGTACCTCTCGCAGGACTCCCTGGTCGTGGCAGGGGCAGAGGGCAGGGATGACGCAGGCGCCCACCGGGTTTCGGTACAGCCCCTCCAGACACACGCAGCCCCCGGCCGAGCGGCTGCAGCTGGCGGGGGGAGCGGAGTAAATGTCCCCGCAGCTCCTCTCACACGGTGGGGCCTCCTCCTCTTCCGGCTGGCTCCGCCTCCACCGCTCCCCGCTGGGACACGCTGCACAGAGTGACAGGGAGGAAAAGGGAGGTGAGGTAAATCCCTCCAGCTGTTCCACTTCTGGATGCGTCTCTACCAGCTTTGAACATGGAGAGACTGAAATCTTCCTGTGTTTTTTTCTAAAAAACTCAAACGGAGACATGGATAAGATCAGCTTCACATGTAAGTAACAGTTGATCACCCAAAATTTAGGAAATTTAGGATTTATTAAACCCCCAGTTTTTAAGCCTTGATTCCAATCCTGACTTAGATTTCAGTCTGGCCTTTGACTGAGCCAGGATTCAGCTACAGCCATGTCTGCATGTTTGCTGGAAGATGAAACTCCACCAAGTCTCAGGTCAAATTTTTTTCCAGGGTTGCCTGTTGCAACGAACAATTAATCACATGAGAAATTAAAACAAGCTCAATAATTTCTATTTGCACGATTTATCATTGTTTTGGTTTCTCTCTCCCTTTCTACCAAAAACTGAAAGATAAAACTCTTCAGTCTGGTGCTTTGGTCTTAAATAGACGTTCCAGCTTTCAGATTTTGGGCTGTTAAAGGGTTTTGTCATGTATGTGGTGACAAAATGTGGAAAAGTTCAACAAGTATGAAGCTTCTGTAAGGCGCAGTTCCTTATTCTATGCTTCAGACACCTTTACATATCTCCTGGAGTGGCCATCTGTTGAACATCACTCCTCTGTGCTGCTTTCACTCACCACAGTCAGGAGCTACGCAGGTCGTACTCCTGATGTTCAGTCCGTCACACGGGGCTCCGCCGTACAGGCTGGGCTGCAGAACCCGTCTGGTGGAGCTTTGCTGGCCGGTACCACAGCTGGCCGAGCATGGACTCCATGGCGACCAGCTGGACCACTGGCAGGCCACTGGACCAGGGCAGAGCAAGGCGGGTCAGGACAACGTCACGCAATATGTTTAGGTCATATATTGACAAATATTTAAATGCAAGATGAAGCAGTTAAATCTGCAGCATGTAATGTTAATAAAAAAATATTTTTTCTACATATTTGTTGAATTTTTTGCATATCGTGACAGTATGGTATGTGACAGAAAATCTGTGAAAAAAAAAAATCAAGGTTCTCTGCCTTCACCCAGTACTAATGAGAAACAACCAATCAGAGTACAGGGGGTGGGACTTAACACTGTCAATCATGCTCATCTATGCGCTGATCATCCCTCCCCTGTTCTCTGCTATGCTACAGCTTCTTCTAAATAGAGTCTGGCATGAATGCTAAATCGAGTTAGCATAGCCTGTGATGACGGCAGATAAAATGTTTTTCTGTAATGGTGAGTTGTTTCTGCCACTAGCAAATTTAGCAGCACATCCATTAAAATAATTGCCAGCACTAAGCCCCTCCTCCTGGCTCTGATTGGTTGTTTCTGACCCGGAGTGGTGAATTTATTCCAGTGACTTTATCAGCTCAGGAAAGATCCCTCTTTTCACAGTTTATATGCTTCGTACTGTAGCATCAGAAAATGGTGACAGTTTAAACAAATATGCAAAAAAACCTTTTTTTTCATAAAAGTTGCATATTTTGTTGTTTGGCAAACAACAAAGCCTGGATGTAATAACCCAGGGGTCTCAAAACATCTTTAAATGCTGTCAAAACTTTCAATGTCAGTATTTCACTTTACACAACCATGTCTTTAAAAAGATGCAAAAAAATTTAAATCCCAAACCCTAACCCAAAAAGTCATGTTTTACAATTAATATAAAAAATGTGATAATTTTCTTCATCCCATCTTGTACAAGAAAAAGAGATGAAAAGAGATAAATAACCACTTTTCTTTATGCTGCTTTCCTTTTCCCTGGTGTAACACTGCTGAGTCAGCCAAGGCGTTCGCCTGCTGTGAGCCCCCCACCCTCCATCCCATCACTCTGAACTTTCTTCTTCCTACCAATTCATTATCACTCCACAGACTTCTGATCCTGTCTGCATCTTCATTCTTTTTCCTCCTTAATTTTAATCCCACCAGTAAACTCGCATTGTTGCAAAGTCAAACGCGTCACAGCAATCGTTCGGTATCACATCTTTATGCGGCATGACAAACAGAGACCGTGTTTCTCCCTCTGCTTCACTCAGACTTTAATTTACCCGCTGCAGCAAACGAATGAAAACTGTCATCTGAGCAAATTTACTTGCATGAAAAATAAAGCCCCGGTACAATTACACTGAAAAATCCACGGCCACCTAAAATTAAAGCAATCCTTCAACTTCAACACCAGCTGGGAAAAACAGTGAAGTAGGACCTCAAATCAATGAAAACGTCAGGTGTTGTAGAGGAACAGAAATAATTTTTGATCCTTTGTCCGTTTCATGTTGCACGACTCCAGCAACTGTTTGTCATCTCTGACTTTATTGTTACATTTCCTTCTGTTTGTTAGTCACAAAATAAGATTTGCATAAAAAAACGGCTGGAACAAAATGGAAAAATGTTCATCGAGACCCACAGCTAGTTTTATTAGACATTCTCAACAGTTACCTTCCTGCAACATGTTAAACATACAAGCTGTTGGATGGCACACAAAATATGGGTAAACAGTTGTTGTGGTTTTATGCCGTCCTAAAACTTCATAACAACATTAAAAGAGCCGTCAGAATCCTTTTCTAAAAGCAAAACGCCAGGAATGGCTCTCATAAGCTGTGATTGATACGGCTGCAGCTCAGTTATTGTGCCCAACTGTTCTAACAGCTGGTAGTAATTATCCATACAGTAAAATATCTAATCCATCATGGTGCTGAGTTCAGCCCGACATGGTTACTGCTTTTATTAGTGGAACGGTTCTCACCGTCGCAGCTCTCTGAGGTGCAGCTGAACGCTCCGCTTCGACAAACGCTGGAAGGAGGAGAAACTCGTCAGTGACTCGATAAACAGGAAAGGCAGATCTCAAATGTTTGTTTTTTAAGTTTGAACAATGAAAAAAATATTTTAAAGGAACATAGTCAGATTTTAGCTATTTTAGGTAAAATAGCTACAGCAACTAGTAGCTAAAGTAGCTTAATTTTAGCAAGCTAAAATATTTTAACTATTTTAGGTAAAGCAACTAAACACCAGCTTAGGCCAGCTTTTAAAGACGTGGTTGTGTTTACTTTTCCTCAGGTTAAAAAGTCATTCAAGTCATTTTTTAAATAATGAGTAAAATAACTATCTTTTAAGTTTAAATCACTATCTTTTTAAAATAAAAACATAAGCCATAACATTTCCTTTTAAAGAACTAAATATTTAATAAGGTATCCTAATTTTCATTTTCTGGACCAATGTTCTCAAAGATCCTGATTTAGTATAATGGTGATCAACACCTCTGCCTGTCTCTTACCATGTGTTGCAGCGGTGCTGAATAACTGTTCCAGGCTGCAGCAGAACCTCCGTAAAGCCTTCGCCGCTCGTGTTCCAGCTTTGGTATTCAGGTGGCAAAGAGAGTGACGAACAGGGACAGTCTGCGTGAGGCACACAGGAGCCCTCATACAACACCTAGCAAAGACACAATGAGATGGTTACAGACAGCGATAGAGGAGCTGGATAAAACACACAAACGCATGGAGACAAAGGGATGTCCAGACCTGTCCAGGAGGACAAGAACAGCCGGAGGTACAGGGTACAGGTAAACACTGGGTGTGTGGCCACAGGTCCTCACATGTGAAAGGACAAGAAGCTGAACAGTTGCTGTGAACCTGCCTGCCGGGACACTCTGCAACACACAAGACGGGATATGTCAGCAGCCGGAAATAAAAACGGAGACATTCAGTGAGTGTGTTTTCACTGCTGGTAGTCTGGTAGCCTCAGTTTGATTGGGGACCAAAACTGCAACATCTGTTATGTTTTCAGCTGCTGTGGTTCACTTCCACACTGCACAGAGTCAAACCAACCAAACCCTTTGAAGAACCTGTTCACCTCGTCGCCTGCGGGGGCGCTGCACCAAGACCCACTGAATGAAACGACATGAAAACCTCTGATGAAGACACTGAGCGCAGCTCCCTTCTTCACCAAGTGAAAACAAAAATGGACTGGCGTCAGATTTTAATCATAGGATTTCTCTATTATCTTCAGCAGAAGAACGCAAAACATTTCTCCATTTACTCATTAGTTACCCAGGATGCCCTGTGCTATAGTCTGCTTCCTGCTGTTGGAGCGGTCTCAGACCTGCTTGTTCACATATACATTCAAACGGCAACAGAGTTCACTTCATCCGAACAGAAACCTAGGTTGCTAGGCAGACCAGAGTTCACTTTTTTGGTTCAATCAGACGTCAATTGTTCCTCCATAAACAACTTTCCAGATAAACGAACTAGAGTTGGATTAAAGCAGACTAAACATTGGAGGTGTGAATGTCCCTTTAATGTATTTGTCTTTAACATCAAAGCAAATTTTACAATGTAAACAGAGTCGGATAATGTGCCTTGCAGAACTATTCATCATTCCTTTTCATTTTACGACCTCTGTACAGCTATATGTATGGAATTAGAAGCAACCCAAAAAAAATGCCTGATCTGAAAAGTAGGGTTCATTTGTACTGAGCTCCCATGAGGCAATATTTCTGTGGAACCACCTTACACTGTTATCAAAGCTGCACCTTCTTTGCACATTGACAGACTTGAGTTTCTGTCTGTTCTTCATTGCATGATATTTCTAACTCAGTCAGACTGCATAGAGTGTGTCAGTGAGTATCCTGCACTTAGATTCTCCTTCCATTTTTAACTTTGACACTGTTCCTCTGTCTGTCATACAATGAGGTTCTGAGTGACCAGAATTAAAAAAGTTCCACGGGTAAGAACATCTTTGCAAAGCAGTTCATAGACAATCACTTTCTGCATCTCTGTATGTGTGTGTGTGTGTGTGTGTGTGTGTGCGTGTGTGTTTGCTTTACCAGGTAAGCAGCTGTTGGTGTTACAGATGGTCTGCTGTTTGAGTGGTCCAACACACGCCGACCCACCAGGCTCTACTTCTTGAAGGATGGTCTTGTTCCGTGTTGACACCCCTCCCCCACATGTGCTGCTGCATTCGCTCCAGGATGACCACTCACTTAACAAACAACCCTCTGAGGGAATGAATGGGTCGGATTGGTAAACCTTTAACTCCAAAGGGAATGGAAGTGGTGTATCATGAGAGCTTGAGGCTACTGCAGACCTGGACAGGACGGCAGATCGCAGCTCTCAGTCTGTGTGGTGGCAGCACAGGGGGGACCGCCCTGTGTGTCCTGGCAGCTCCGTGTCCTGGTTCTCTGTCCGGGTCCACAGGACACTGAGCAGGAGCTCCACAGGCTCCAAGGTTCATAAACTGGACAGGGAATCGTGGTGCACGCCAGAGTGCCGTTCTCACACACACTGCCCACAGAGAGGGACGGGAGAGGCTGAAGGCGTTTTCTTACACAGAAAATATACAAACACAACGTGCAAATCTAGGTTCTTCAAATGAATTTGGTTCTGTAATCATCTCGTTGTTACAGATTTGACCTTTGAAGATCAAGAATCCCCGTCACAGAGAGCTGTTCTCACCAAGTGTTACATTCGATAGTGAGCTCCTCTTTAGGGCTGAACTCTGCTGTCCCATTGCCTGATGGGATTCCACAGCGACACTGGCTCACCGGGACACAGCGGCCGTCCTGCAGCAACTGGCCATCAGGACATCGACAGCCTGACAATACAGAAAAGATTGAACAGGAAATAAAGAATCACAAGACAATGAAGCATGTTACTGTAGCCTGATATTAAGGTAAAGTTAGCTCTGATATTCACCTGAGTGGCAGCTTCCTTGCAGACACTGCACATGCTCCCATAAGTCTGCACAGCTGCGAGGACACCGGTTGGCACAGCTGTCCTGGTAGATCCGCTGCCTGTCCTCACAGCGCTCACCTGAGATACAGGCGAGGATGTTACGTTTTAGAACAATACATACGAGTGATCATCCAGAGATCCTGATCATCCATAGGAACAAGGTTCTCTTACCATTCCAGAAAATAAAGAAGATAAAACGTATTAGTCTTACAAGAACAAGTATTGATGATTCGTGAGTCAAAAATTTTACTTTCTTCTGGCTCATCTGCCAGAAGATCCCAGTTTTACTTGTTTAAGTAGATTAAAATGACTCTGTTTAATCCCTGGACCTTCGAGCATTCCACAGTCTGTTATGGAACACGCTGGATTCAGAAATATTGGAGGAAACTGCAGTCCAGATCTAGAGGTGTCCAAAGTCAGTCCTCAAGGCCCAGAATCCTGCATGTTCTGTTTCCCAGTCAAAAGGCTGAATCCCTTCATCAGCAGGTTATGAATGGCTCTGAAGGCCGTTCATTAGAATCTGCTGTGTTGGAAAATGGACACATCTACAGGTTGCAGGATGGCTGACCTTGAGGACTGAACTCTAAACTATACACACAGAGAGACTGCTGCTTTTTCAGTGCAAGTTGTGTTGATCTTAGTGATTGCTACTGAAAACTGATAAAGACGGCTTAAAAAGGTCAAAGTGTAAACTTTTGTCTCAGTTTTGAAATAGTAAAAACCTGTTTTCAAGCATCAGCTGTCACTCACGGCGTGATATCCTCTGATTCAGCAGGTGCAGCAGAAGATACTCTGAATGTTTCTCTTGTACTTTCTTGTATTCGAGTTTTTAAAGAGACATCAGAATCTCTGAGATAGTTTGAATTATCCAGAGCACTTCCACTACTACACAAACCAAATTAAATCCAGACTTGATTTGTAAGTTGCTCACGTCCTGCAATATGTACAGAAACCATCTCATGATTTAATTCCTTTTTCCCCTTTTTGATCAGTACATCTCTGATTGAGCCTCTCGCTTGAGAATTCTGTTAAAAATTAAACTAATGAGGATTGTCCCTGCTGGAGAAGAAGCTAACAGCTGCCTCACAGTCTGACAGAAACTGTTTACCACCAGACCTCCGTCTGCTAGCTCCAAAACGCCTCAGTGACGAACAAAACCCACCAAATGTTCTGCCTGTTGGTTAAAAGTGCTGTTTTTCACGCTGCTCCAATGCTGGACAAACCAAAGAGCAACTGGTATTACTTTATGTTGTGGTATTTATCTTTTTGCGTGGCTTAAACTTGAGCGTGGACAGTGCAGAAATGCTAATTAGCAGTAGTGGAAATCATCCGGAGCCACCATTGATTACCCTGAATGTTACTTCAAAGCAGACTGCTGAGCTTCTGCCAGGCTGGTGTGTAGGATGAAGAATCTCAGGTTCTCTGTCAGCTTTTTAGCTAATTGTAATTCCTGACAAAACATGATGTATTTCTTCAATGCCAATAACCAGCACAAGACATTTTAACTTTGAAATCACCATTATTAAAAACATAGTTCAATCAAAGAAAAGCTTTATATATATCTAGCAAATGTATTTAAAAAATGATATGTTGCTCTCCAGTGTTCCTCTGTAATTCTATGTTGCTTTTTGAATAGTATAATCTGCTTCTAGGCATTTACATAAGCAAAAATGTGAAAACTGTTTCAAAATGGAAAAAACTAACAAAAAACTCTTCCATTATGAACATTAGATCCCAATATGCTGAAGCCATGAGTTACACAGGTAATGAACTATGAAGCCACAAGGCTTCTTATGCTGTGAGTTAATGTGTCGCTTGGTGACTCTGCTTTGTTATTTCATTTATGACTAAACTGCTGTCATTTTGTTACAGGCCATATTGGGCCCTGTGCCTCATTTTAATGAGGGTATCCATGACAACTGCAGGATTGTCACAATTTCTTCTAGAAAGCAAATATATGTAATTCAGCACTTCATCAGTTTATTTATTTATTTTTTTTAAAAAGAGACTAAAACTCGAATTTAAATTCAAAGGAGAGAAATGTTTACTCTGGAATATCTTAAAGATGACAAATAGCGAATGACTTAATTATTCCTTGTTGCTAATTGAGATGCAGAGGCAGAAAATGTCCCAGTCTTGTTTTAATTTTGTTACAACAGATTCAAATTAATGCTGCTTGTTAAAAACTGAATTAAAATGTTCTATCACATTATGAACAGTAGTGATGTGGGTGATGTTGGTGCTGCTTGTAAAAGTTTTCTTTATGCAACAGAAACTTTTTAGGAGGAATTACAGATTTAAAGGATTTGCACTGCAGCTGAGGCTCACATTCATCCTGGTAAACTTTGATTTTAATCCAGTTTATTCAAAATATTTCACTTTTCCTCCTAACTGCACCAAACCCAGCTGTTAACATGATCATTTAGAGTTTCTAATCCTGCATTTGAGATGTCATTTTTTTAACTGAGGGATGCACAACTTGGAATTTATTTTCGCTTATCCAGAGTTAAAATGACCCAATAATACACATAATCATTATCATATTGCAGATGGTGTTGATTTTGTTGTCAAACTCTTTAATCCGTGTCATTGTTAAAATGGCTTCTCTGTGGACAGAGTCACTGGTACTTGAGGAATTTTCAGGGCTTGACGGCGTCCTTAGTAACTCCTGGTCATCCTAACCAATGTCTTCTCCTCTGAGGTTCCCAGTTTGGGTCAAATGTTTGGAACTTGGACACTGCTGGATGTGCCAAACCAGACCGGCACATCCGAGCTGATTTTGGAATGGGTGAGTTATGGGTGAGTTATGGGCTAACATTACATTTCTCAAATTGTTCCAACTTCAGCATTACTGAAAGTTTAAAACTAAGTAAGACCATAATCAACAATGAGACCAGACCTTTAAAAGCTCAAGCCAAGAAAGCAATCAAATGAAATGAACACATCGATTTCTGCCAAAAGGAAATTGAAAGGCATCAGCTGGAGTTATGCCAGAAGTTAATTAATGGCTACCAAAGTGTGCTTTTCTGTGTAGCTTGCTAAATAATATATCCATTAGCAATGTTTGTGGATTAAAGAAAATCCACAATAAATTCAATTCCTGTTCTTAAAAATCTATGTATTTGATTGTTGTTTGACTTAAAACACATGTGACAGATTCACAGTTTCAAGTTTCAGCATCAACTTTAGACTTTTCAATCTGACCAACATTTTAAACATGCAATTTAAAGAAAGCTAAGCTTAAAGTAAGTTTTGATCATCTGATTTCAGAACGCATCTGGACGAATAACTGACAATAACAAAGACATAAAAAAAACACTGTTCATGTAATTTTCTTAACTTTCTTCTACTTTATGTTGCTGAAATGAAAAAAAGACTTTCAAATAGTTCAAACAAATATTTCTCATATTTTTTGCACTTCATTGTAACGTATTCATTTCAAGTGACTGAATATTTGCTTTACATTTTTTTCCGTTCTGTTGATGAAAACTCCTTTTAATGTTCTGCTTTTGCCTTTGTAGTTGGTCGTCACTTTAGTTTGGCGAGTTGTCATATAAATATGAAGCATATAAAGAATAATATGCTAACATTCCACCTGAAATACAATCAGTCACAAGTATTAGTGTGTAAGCTGGCAGACACTGGGAAGTCTGGCTGAATCCTTTTTATTTCTGGACCTTTTATGGAGTCTTTACAGAACATTTTCGGTTTGTTTGGGAACAGAAGGAATAAAGTGGCTGTACCTGGACAGAGTCCAGTGTTGCAGCTCTGGCTCTGCGTCTGCTGGCTCCTGCAGCGGGGCCCCGCCGAGGAGGCCAGGGGCCGCCTGTAGCGCTGCCTGACTCCGCCACTGCACGGCTGTGCGCACGCTGTCCAAACACTCCACACACTCCAGTGGCACAGATCTGGAACAACAGAGCCGTTAGCACAACCACCATGAACTCTGCTGGGAGTCTCATCACACCCACTGTACGAATCACAACGACTGCAGTGGAATGTAACGCTCGTCCTCTGCTGCAGCAACACGTCTTCGTTTTAGTGGCTGTTCTTCTGCCGGTTCAGACACTCAGAGAACACATTTATACACAAGTCGTGTTTTTTTTGTTTATTAGATGCATCCGGCGTAAACTACTGACCAATGCTGAGTCAGTTTAAATATTTCAACAGCAAGACGGGTGATTTTAAATAATTTCATTCTAATTAATCAGACGTAAAACTTGTTTAGGTAAATTGAAGGGAAGTTGACTTTGCGCCTTGTTGAAATATTCACACGTCAAACTCTGTTAATCTGTCGTTATCACATTGCATCACAAACATCATTGTGTTTTAATGACCAACACAACCCAGTGAATAACTGTGAAGCAGAAGCTGTGTGTTTCTTCGTACGGTGTGTGTTCCTAACACAGATGACTGTCTGACTGACCTTCGCAAAGTGTGCCGTAACCCGGCTTTATGTTTTCTTATGAAAGCAACACACCAGGTGGGTTTCATCACCACACCGACTGGATGAAATGGGTTTTTTCTACTTGTCAGACTCTGACAGGTTTCCTGAGTCTGCTTCTTTAGAAGTGAGCTCAGTGTCAGCAAAACCAAACATTTCCTCACTGTGGAGTAAAACAAGCAAACAAAAAATACTCTGGCAAAATAAAATAAAAAAAAATAAATGAAAAAAAACATATGGCTGTGATGTGCAATGTCCTCCTGAATGAACGGCATCACCTCTGCAGACGGCGGCATCTGGACAGAGCCTGTCCTCCACCAGCGGCCCTGGACATCGGCTCTCCTCCTCTCTCTTAACAGGGAGACCCGAATCGATGTCCAGGCAGGCCCGGAAACGTCTCTGGACGGAGGCCAGGTTGGTGCCGTTGACGAGCGCCTCCAGGGACGGAGCGAGCTGCTGGGAGGCCAGGGGCGCGCAGGGAGAGCAGGGGGTCCACTGGGACCACTCACTGAGGATCACTGGAAGAGGAACGATGCGGACGGAGGACTGGGTGGGTTGATGGGAGGCGGATCGTTCAGACATTCGCTTTTCTTACCTTCACACTCTCTCATGTCACAATGTAAAGTCCCATCATGGCACAGGCTGGAAGAGAGGAAAAAAAAACATGATGAAATGATAATAAAAGATAAACTGATTTAGTAGGAAGTGCAGGGTGATGATAGTTTTGGGTTTTTCATTATTTCGTTTTGACTTTTTGTTTAATTCAGTTATTTTAATTCGTTTTTATGGCGTGTTTGAAAGTTTTAGCTAAATATTGTTCGGATTCACTTTAGTTTTTATTAGTTTTAGTAGCAGTTTTAGTTTTTTTTTTTTTTTTTTTTTTTTTTTTTGGGGGACACACCAACAGTCTGGTGTTTCCTCCTAACTTCTGCTGCCGCCATTATGCACATTCATGTAAGTACTGTTAGTGTAAGTAAACTGCATGTGTGTGGAAACATAAATCAATTTCACAAAGAGTTCAAACAACTAGTAAATAAATCCAGAAACACAAAAACAAAATATACTATATATATAATTTTAGTATGTTTTAGTTAATTTTATAAGCACAGTAGAGTTTCAGTTAGTTATAGTTTTCCCTGTTAATTATAATGTTTATTTAGTTCAGTAAATGAAAAAATGTTTCCAGTTTTTGTTATTTCTTTTAGTTTTAGTTAACTGTAACAACGTTGGCAGAAGGTGGTGAATGACATCACTCTGCTGCAGCAGGAATATTAGAAACCATTTCAGGTTGCTTCAGTCTTTGTGCACAACAAATAATGCAAAACAAAATGTGACTAACCAGGTGCTGCAGCCTATAGTGACCGTGGCCCCCTGAGGGACAACGATGGGTGTGGGAGGCTCCTCTGAAACCTGGGGCCCCGGGTACATGCAGCCACACTGCTGCAGAGGAACACAGCTGCCGTTCTGCTGCAGCAGGCCCTGCAAGGAAAAACACAACGTGACTCTGTGAACCATTTGTTTTGCTTCAGGCGGCTTCATACAAAAAGAGTAAAACTACGATTCCAAATGGGTCATTTTTATTTCTGTAAGTTTTCTAAAATGTCAAAAACCTAAAAATGTCCTTTTTTTTTCTAGCAAATTTTTGACTTCTCAAACTCAAAAATATCTTTGTTTTTCTCTGGAAAATTTCACTAATCAATCTAAACATTTCTGAGTTTTTTGGCAGGAACTTACTCATATTTTTTTCCCCTCCATCTACAATGACCTTTGTTGTAAATTAGTTTCCTTCACCTCCAATCACAGATGTCAAATTAGTTCAGCATTGATTTTTTTTAAGCAGTTTCATATTTTTTTTCTTTATACAGTATTATATTTTGTACAATAAATATAAAATAAAATTAAATCAGATAAGAGAGTAGAAGTTGACCTGAGGGCAGTAGCAGCCAGGTGTGCACTCCCTGACCCCCAGACAAAGATCTTCTCTGCCCATCAGAGCACACTGCTTCTCACAAGGCGCTCCGCATGCCGAGTAAACAAACGGAGCTTCACAGCCTGCAAACAGGGAGACACAACCGTTCATATGAGTTTTTGATTTTTTTATCGTGCACAAACTTCACTGCATAAGAAGTGCCACACAAACAGAATCACTCAGTCAGACACAGCAGGGAAGAATCTGAAAGGGCAGAGCTCAGTAAGCAGGAGAACCTCCAGAAAACCCAACTCACCGTCACACTGACTGAGGCCGCACACCTGGCTCTGGGTTTCTACAGGAGTGCACTGCTGCCCTCCGGTGGCTGAGGTGAGCGCTACGCGATATCGCTGCTGCCTCTGAGACTCGCACGAGCAGCGAGACCAAACGCTCCACGCGGACATGGGACATTCTGGAAAACAAAACGGTTCAGGACTTCTTCTACACACACATTTATTTCTGCCTGTGGTTTTCCTCAGTCTCTTACATAGCAGTTTGTGTCTTGTAACGTGACAAAAAATAACAAATTGCAAAGCAAAAGCTAAATAACATCTGGAATATTTGAAAATAATGCTAATTAATATTCCTTTGCAGCTTAATGACATCATAATACGGTCTTATCGAGGGTTTTTCTGGCTCTGTACCGGGACACGGTCGGTGGTAACACAGCTGGGTCTCCTCTCTGTTCCTCACGGCCTCGGCTTCAGGGGGGCACGCCGCATCCCCTCCCTCCTCACACACACACGCCCTGCGTCGAGACACTGACCCGGCGCCGCAGCTCCGGGAGCACGGTGACCATGGCGACCATGGGCAAAGGTCATCTGGGAGGGAATAAAAAATGAAAGAGATAAAAGGGGGGGAGCTGATATTTGAAGTTATCCAAACAGGAAGTAGCGGCAGGTTGAGAGGTTCAGCATGGTGTCAGAGTGTGTTTTAGGAAGACTCAGAGGTTCAGGAAGGTGTCAAACTCGAGGCCCGCGGGCCAGGACCAGACCACCATATCCATTTTTGTGGCCCTCTAGACCTCAGAAAGCCACATAAACACAAGTTCAAGATAACTGTTGTCTGCTTAAATATTATTTTATCAATCAAATCATACCAGTGGTTATTGAAAGCTTTATTTTAAGAATTTATTAATAGGTAGTTTTATCTACACATTCTGCCACTAATGGCCCTTTAAGGACTTTCATGATCTACATATGGCCCAAAATGAAGATGAGTCCGACGCCCCCCTGGTGTATACCAACCCACACATGGAGGCGTCTGGCAGTGCTGCGTTTCTCTGGCCGCTCCGCTGCAGAGCGAGCCGTTGTTTCGTGGTGGGGGGTTGATGCAGGCTCGGGTTCGGACCTGCGTCCCCTGGCTGCAGGTCACTGAGCAGTCAGACCACACTGACCAGGGCGTCCAGGCACCGTCAACTGCGAACACAAAGCATCCGGGCTGCCACCATTTCCTGAGGTATCAAGAGTTTTAGACATGGGGGATAAGATTCCCTCCGATTCCATCTGGAGGTGTCACACTCACTTAACAAAGTTTGGATTTTCTTTACTTTTTCTGGCATTAGAGTCGCCACAGTTAGAGCAAAGCCTGAGAAGTGCACTATGGTATTTGAAAACCTTAACTGGTCACAGTGCAGCATGAATGCAATTCAATGACAGACTAACCAGGTTACAACTTAACATTATTTTACACCGTTCCCCTACCTTTATGTCATCATTAGAGTGAATCTAGTGTCTACCTCTGCAGTCGATGTCTTGGCAGTAGATTCCCTCTGGGGTACAAATGCTGAGAAAAAAAACAGAGCATGGAAAAATGTGAAACAATGTTGATGCCTGAGCAGAAACGCCCTTTGCTCTCTCTCTTCCTCTTCCATCTCACCATTGCTGACACTCTCCCTGCAGCCAGGTGTCTCCCACTCTGAGTTCCTGTTTACCATGAAGGCAGAGAGGGGGGCAGGGTCCAGGGTTGCACGGTTTGTGCTGAACCTCCTCAAAGTTGCAGTCTGCTCCTTCGGTCTCTGGGACCCGGGATCTGACACAACGTACGACACGGACTCAGCAAAGAAACTGTTTCTTGCTTCTCTGCCTAACAGAAAGATGGTAATAAGTAACTACAATGCAACGTGTCATAAGTTCAATGACATGCTGCATTGAACTTATACTACAAATAATAACAGAAGGCTGCAGATGAAAGCTAATTCCACTTTCAGTTAACAGACTAATCCGTTAATGTTGGGAGAGTTTATTCTGCAAGTGAGCCCCTAAAGGATCGATCCTTCTGAACCCTACAGACCCAACACTGTTCAGTTAAAGACTAAAGTGGTTTGCTGGCACGTAATGCAAAATGTCAACCCAACTCAAGAGTGTCCACTACCTCACCTGTATCTGGTTCTCTGGCCCCGCCCACAGGAAGTGCTGCAGGCTGCCCAGCTGGACCATGAGCTCCACGCGCAGGCGGGCAGGCAGCTGTGATTGGTGCAGAGCAGCCGACCGTCAGAGCAGCTGCAGTTGTTGCAGTCCACCCGGTGCCAGCTGCCGGCCACCCACACGTCGCCCAGCGAGTCCATGCAGTCGCACTGCCACAGTTCCACACACACACCGTCCTGCTGCAACCGACCTGAACACACACACACACAAACGCACACACACACAGCGAAATCTGTTCTAAAACTCAGCAGGTTTCAGGACGTTTCAACACACTGGAGATCCTGATGTGCATCTAGTCAAAACACACAACATTTGTAAATAGACCATAGTACTGTATAATAACTAACTATAATCCTGGAAAACATGTAGTTATTTTATCTAACAAAAAATATTAGATTAGATTAAAAAATGTATTTGCTTCCCGATATTGGCAATTTAAAAAAATCCCTGGGGAAGATAAAAGATTCATCTTCCAGAACAGATTTTAGACAGAACTTTGACAATTTATGATACAAAAAGTCTATGTGGATCAAAGAAGCCATATAATATCCAACCAAATACTTTAATAAAACCGCTTTCATCAACTTTTACACGCCGTCACATGAACCTTTAAAGACGTGTTTAAGTCTGATCCATGTCAACAATAGCAAGAATAATTCATGCCTGTCCATCACCGGTGATACGAAACAAACACAAAGTCACGGCGTGTCTGAGCGTGGAGCGGTTCAGGACCTTGAGGGCAGCGGCAGCCGGGCTGACATTCGGTGCTGCCCTGGCACTCGATGCCCTGCTGGAGATCTGAGCAGCGCTGAGGACACTGGTTGGCACACGACACAAACTCCTGGCCAGTCGGACAGCCTCCATCATCTGATGGCACACACACACACACACAGAAGGTCATGAATGTCCTGGGGATGCTGCCGGCTCCGTTTCTGCATCTCATGCCTCCCCAAGAATGCCGACTTTTCCAACATGGCCGTATGCTGACTTAATGAGGCTTTGTTTGTGTGCAGGACGAGGACGTGGAAAGGTCACAGTGATCTACACATGGCCTGTTCTGCTCAGCCTCACCACAAGGTTTGGTGTTGCACGGCTTGACCTGGTTCTTCTCCCCCAGGCACTTCCTGCCCCCGTTCTTGGGCGGGGGGCTGGAGCAGGCGCGGGTGCGGATGGAGCGGCCGCCGCCACAGCGCTGGTCGCAGCGGGACCAGGGACTCCACCTGGACCAGCCTCCGTCCACTGTTTCACAGAGAGACGTCAGGGCGTTGGCTCAAACTTCAACGTACTGGCTGGGCGAGGCGCAGCACTGACCTCTGCAGGGACGGATGTTACAGAAGCGATGCTCCAGATTCCCTCCAACAATGTCCTCACACCAGGAACCGTTACCGGCAGGCTGGAGGAAGGTTCGGATCCTCTGCTGGTGACCCACCCCACAGGACCGAGAGCAGGACCCCCACGTCCCCCACTCCGTCCAGGAGCAGTTCTTTGGAGGGCAGGTGGCTCCTACACACACCTCACCTGCAGTTTAGAACAGAGTGTATTGTAAACGGTACAAATCTTTGCAGCTCATTCCCAATGTCTAATTATTAAACAATGCTCTTTCTAGTGCTTGTATATACAGATTATGATGACTGAGAAAAAATGAAGACTACTGCAGTATACTACAGACTACTGGAGCACCGATTGCAGTTTACTGGCCAATTACTGATTGATGGTCTCTAAAAAAACCTGACCTGGCAATTCCAGTTTTGGCCGATGACGATTTTTAAAGTTTTATAGCAGTTTTTGTTAGTTTGATAAGATCAATTTCACATGTAAGTATTGGCCGATCACACAAAATCTGGGTGCAGCCTTACTAGAGGTTATATGGCGTCTTTCCTGGTATATAGTTCAATACCAAATGCACCGGTAGCTTAAATTTGTTGTCATCTTGTCACATTACAACCTTAAATGTCAATGGAGTTTTTGGGATTTTCTTTTGGGAGGTCAACTCCAAGGTCATCATAAACTCTGACCAACTGAAGAAATGCATGTTTCCCTGCGGATGATGAGCAGAGTCAGTCTTCTGCCAAACAGCTTACAAATATGAACCACTCTGTTGGTCTGCAGCTTAAAATCTCCCAAAGACATATTAAAGTTTGTGGTTCTAACTTCAGAAAGAGCGAAAAGGGCCTCTGTAACTGTTTCACCAAACAGGTTGGTTTTCTTTGGAACTAACCACGCCCGCTGTGTCTTAATTATTGCTACATTTAAAAATCACAATACATTTTAAAAAAGTCAGCGTTTGTTCTGGGAGAAACCTGCCAAAAAATGACGCGGAGAGGGAACTGTGACAGTCAGACCTGGACACTGGGGCAGGTTGCACGCCTTCTCCTGGTGAGCGCTTCCAGAGCAGGGAGGTTTGGCACACAGTCGATGACGAGACTTTACAGCAGGGCTCTGAACGTCGGTGCAGGTTTTGGTGCAGGAGCTCCACAGCGACCACGAAGAGAAGCCGGAGTCATCCTCTAAAGGAGACGGTAAGAAAGACGACAAGGCAAATTTGGTTCTTGAGATCAAGTGATGATCCTGACTGTTAACCGGCCAGTCGGAAAGACAAAGGTCTGATCTTTATCACTGAACATGATAATAAAGTGCTTCCACTTTAATAAAAAGTAAGTTATCTTCATTGACATGGTGAGGTGTTTATAAAGTAAAAGAAAGCACAAATGTAATGCTACATCTAAAAGAAAGCATCTTTTACAGTGTTTTGGAACATGTCTTTTGGTCTTTCCCGTTTTAAGCGAGGTTGATATTTTCAGCAGATAACAGGAAGGTTGAATGACAGACTAAAAGTGGTCCATCTTTTTAAGATTCCAACCTCTTGAAAATGTTAAGTTAAAGTGTAACTGACCTATAAATTAACTTTTTTGTTTTGCTGATGAATATAAACAGGTTACCAAGGTTTCTACATGCCTCTCTCTGTGAATTTTGACATTTTTGTGGCAGCTTGTTTAGTTAATTATCTTACATACTGTTAGTTCAGAAATCTAGATCAAACTTAGAAAGTACCATCGACTTTATAGAATCAAACATGAAGAACCAACATCTAATTTTGTCAGTACAAGAATCCATAGAAACCCCTACTAGTTTATAAACTATGGTCTACTTATTCTCATTAAACATGGGGAACCAATATGTAGTTACTTTTACTTTTTTGTCTTTCTTTTGGTTTGTTGTTTTGTTTGAATTACTTTCTAATTCATGTGAAGCACTTTGAACTGCCTTGTTGCTGAAAATGTGCTACATAAATAAAATTACCTTACCTAGTTCTGCAATAATGGCCTAAAACCGTCTCTGCACTAACCTTTTGAGCTTGCTAGGTGGCTACTGCAGCTCAGTTCTCCTATTGTTTACATCGATTTACATCACATAATACTGTGTTTGGGTATAAAACTACCTCACTCAGACACATGGTTATGTCAGGTGGGGTTAGTTACACTTTAAGGTAAGGAGAGACAGTCTGAGTAATGCTAGCTCGCTAACATAAGAGGCTGAACTCAACAAGGATTTTCATTTACGTGGTGTTGTTTCTGCGCTAGCATGAACACAGTAGGTAAGCTGAACACTTTTTAAATGTCATTTTGTCTTCTAGTTTTATAGCTCGTAAAGCGAAACTAGAATTAGCTGAAATTGCAGTTGGCAGGTCAAAGCTGTTGGAAAAACAGAGAATGAGTATAGACAAAAAAATAAGATCAGGGCATCTCTAGAGAAATCGACCAGCATGTACAATAAAATGAAGAAGATTATAAATGTGTAAATTAAAGCAAAGATGCTACCTGGAATAGTTGGCTCCACTGTTGGAACAACAGTAGCTGAAAAAAAAAATTATCTTGTAAGCATAGAACAAATCATTTCATCAACAAACTTTCTCTCAGGTTAACCCCCACCTGGACAGTCAGGGGCCTGGCAGTAGGTGGTCTCCTGGCGGGGCCCCTGACAGTCTCTCCCACCGTGGGCCGGGGCCGGCTCTGTGCAGGTCCTGGAGCGAACCTTCACTCCCAGACCTCCACAGGAGAGCGAGCAGGGGCTCCAGGGGCCCCAGGCTGTCAACCCACCGTCGATGGGGCAGAGCTCCAGCGAACAGTTCCACATGCCATGCTCACAGCCGCTACAGGAAACAGAACCCGATCCCAGGGTAAATCATAGACCTGTTCAGCAAATCAGACCAACTTAAACACGTTGGGCTCACCAGGTGCTGCAGTCGTGCGTAAGTTCATCTCCAGACATGAGCTCCATCCCTTCTGAGATGTTGTTGGAGAGCAGAGATGATACGGGTGTGACAGACACGCTCTGCAGGCGGGCCAGGAACTCTCCATCCACCAGACACGGACACTCCTGAAACACACAGGCCACATGGGGTCAGTCTGTTCAGCCTCAACCCATCCTCAACTGCCCAGCCTGAAGTTGCTCAGGACCCACCGGCGTACACGTTCCACGGTGCTGGTAGGTGTGCGGGGGGCAGTGGCAGCCTTCGTCACAGCTGTCAGAGTAGCAGCCCTCTCTGCCACTGACCTGAGCGCAGCTGAAGGGACAGCCCTCTCCACGCTCACACTCCCTGTACAGCTTACCGGGGGGGCACCCCACATCTTCACAACGGCATGACATGGAAAAAACACACACAACTCACTTTATAGAGATTATTTGTGTAGCAACATTTTTCAAAGAATGACAAAGCACTGCAAAAATGAGGAGGAACACAGCATGAGAAAATGTGTGGAAACATTTAAGTGAATATTTGCAGCATATAACTTATAAAAATCATTTTTTTCATATTTGTTAAAACTGTCACCATGTTGTAACAGTGTGCTGCTACGACATTATGAGACATAATCTGTGAAAAGATTGAGTCCTCCAGGTTCTTTCAGTGCTACAGTAGCGGTTCAACAGAAAACAACCAATCAGATCCAGGAGGAGGGTCTTAGCACTGGTAATCATTCTTGTGAACGCAATGCTAAATGTGCTAATGGCAGAAAAACAACTTACCGTTACAGGCCTTTGGTAACTAGCCTTAGTATTTATGGTGGGCTATGTTGGTAACTAGCTGTAGTGTAGCACAGAGCAAGTGAGACGATGTGAGCAGCTCACACGCGAGAGTGACTGACAGCACTAAAACCTTCCTCCTTTCTCTGATTGGTTGTTTCTGACTGAGTGGTGCAGTTAGTACTGGGAGAAGGAGCTAAAGGTTTTCACAGGTAAAACAGGAAAAATCACTTTCAGGATCAAAACGTTAGATCAGAATCTGCTTGATCAGCTTTATGGAATGAAGCTCCAGGAACATGGAGCTGTCAAAGCAACACACCACATTTCACAAGTTTAACTGAACAGACCAATCTTTGATACCTGGATTTCACTTATAACACGAGTAATGTTTTCAGAAGCAAGTAAATTATTTCTGTCTCCCAGTCAAGGTGGACAGAATCTGAAATACAAAAACTCCAAAACAAAAATACAATTGCATATCATCAGCATAATCTATTGAGACTACACTGAGCTGGAATACAGTAGAGCCCAAAACAGGATCTTGAGGAAAATCACAAGACAATCCATGCCATTCCCCATGTGACTTTACTCCTGCAAACATGGAAATCTGACTGAATGTCAGATTTCAGAGCAGGGAAAAAATCACACATAAGGTTCAGAAACTCAGACCCACCAAGGCAGACTTGTGTGTTGCACATTTTGCTTTGGCGACTGACGCCGTGGCAAGGGGGAGAGGTGCAGGTACGAGAACGGGACTGCTGCCCTCCGCCGCAGCTCACCGAGCAAGAAGACCACTGAGACCAGAGCAGCCAAGGGCCCACCGAATCTGGACACAAAACAGACCAGAACTCTAAATATTCTGTGTAAAGTTTGTAGTTAAACTGAAGGTAGAATTAATTTAGAAATGCTAGCTTGTAGTAGACGACTACCTGTGCACATTTGCATGTTGCAGTCCTTCTTCTGCTCCGCTGTACCCAGGCAGCCTCTGCCACCGGCCTGAGGGGCCGGGTTGTCGCACAGACGCCTCCTGAACGTCACGCCTCCGCCACAAGGAACAGAGCACTCGGTCCAGGCTCCCCATTGGCCCCAGCCACCATCCACATGGCAACCGGGAACAGACCGGCACTGCAAAACGCCACCCTCACACGAGCTGAGGAATAAAGAAGCATAATCGATAGATGAGGAATCGATACTGAACTTCTCAAAGTCCTGAATGGATTGTCATCATTGAAGAAACAGGTTTACCAGTTTTTGCAGTCACTGATGATGACATCCCCTGGATTTGCAAACTGCCAGTCATATCCACCAGGCCACACCCATGACGCGTTCCTGGAATCCAAACCATCTTGGTAGAGAAATACACAGTTTTATGTTTCTGACATGAACAACAGATCTCCGTTTTTAATTCTTTCAAGCGATTTCCACGTAAACGGAAGACGTGTCGAACCGGTAACTGAGCCGTTGTGGTATTTGCAGCGGCACTCCTGTCTGGCCACGCACACTTCGTCCTGCAGCAGCATGTCGCCTGGACAACCACAGGTCCGGATGCACCGGGGGGAGTCCAAGCAGTCCGTGTCGCCGTGGAGATCTGAACAGGAGCGAGCGCAAGGCTTCCCACACGGCCATTCCTCCTGACCACCACCGCAGTCTGAGAAACACAAATGAATCTAACTTTTAACAAAGACGGCGGGAAAAGGCGCTACGGCGTGTGAAGAGGCAACTTCTCAGACTTGGTGAGCATCTCCGTGTTTAAACACAGATGCGGTCAGAACGAAAGCTCTCAGAGGGCCGACCTGGGCAGACAGTGGTGTTGTCGTGACATGTGCGGCTCTGCCGGCTCTCGCCCAGACAGGGGAGGCCACCAAACCTGGCAGGGGGACTGTTGCACTGTCTGGTACGAACGGACGAGCCGGCACACCCATCGCACTCTGACCAGGCAGACCAGGAACTCCAGGAACCGTGAACTATCAGTGGAACACACACACACAAAAAAAACTCTAAGACAGGCATCTGAGTGAATAAATAGCTGACATGAATTATCCTACCAGCAGATCTGTCAGAGAGGACTAAAAGTGAAAAAGTACACAGTGAAATCAAAATTAAATGTTAGCAATGCAGCCCAGCTAACCGGGAGTAAAACTGAAAGTCTTTCTTGCGGTGGGAATCATACTTTCCGCTATAATATGAGGTTTTTTCTAAGGTTTTTCCATTTATGGTAATATCTGAAGTTTTATATGTTTTTCTTGAGGATAGAAATGCACCACAAACCTTCTCTTTCCATCATTTCTAAGATATAATAAAATGTTTCGCAAGAAGAAAGAGAAAATACATCCAAACTATTTGGACTATTTCTAAGTTATTTTTGCAGGGTATTAAAGTCACATCTGACAGTTTTGATTGCGTCTTTTCTGTGATGGTCATCTGAATGGTTAATAAAGGGCCGTTTTCATGTGCAGTTCCATCTCTATAATTGCAGTAAGCAATATTTGCTTATTGAAAGGGAACGCAAACGTTTTGTGAGGTAATGAAAAAGAAAATAAATTCCCATGTACCATTGGGGGCTCCATAAGAAACACCCTGAATATGTCTAAAATTATAATAGAAAAATAAATATTTGTTTAAAGTCACAGTTCTAACCTTCTTGTTTTATCTGTTTTATCCTGTCAACAGTGGCAGATTGTTTCTACTGGGTCACCTGATCAAATAGCTAACTTTTTTTTACCAAAACTATTTTTGTACCAACAGCTTTTTAAAACTTCTGTCTCCACTCTGTTTTTGTCAGGATCTTACTTGGGCAGAACGTGACGACAGGGCAGGGCTGTCGCTGTATTTGCGCTCCGATCCCGTTGTGCGTTTCCTGTTCTCCAGGACAGGGGTCTCCCCCAGCTTTAGGCTCAGGACAGCTGCAGCTCCTGTAGCGGGACACCGACTCCGCCCCACAGGTTCTGGAGCAGGGGGTCCACTCTGACCACTCACACCACCCACCCGACACTACGAAACAGAGACGTTCCAATTAGTTCCAGCTAGTTTAGAAGTGAAAATTTGTCACAGGAGGAACGATCGAGAGTCAGCACACAGCTTCAGTTATTACAGCTAGAAACTAGAGATGAGGCCTGAAACCTGGGTGTACTGATGAACTCTGACCTGAACCTTCAGAGACACATAAAGACAGTCGGCCTTCTATCACCTGAAGAACATCTCCAGGATTAAAGAACTAATGACTCAGCAAGATGTAGAGAAACTCATCTGTAGATTTCTCTTTAGTCGCTGCTGGTGTTCTGACTAAAACCAGCATTCAGCTTCTATGCACCACAAATCTAGAACAAACTTCTGGAAAACAGTTCCTTTAAATCTAGACTAAAACCCTCTTGTTTAGAGTTTCATAATAAATGAAACACTGACCAACATTTTTATGTTTATTGACGGCAATATTTCAACTGTAGCTTTATTGTGTTTTTATGGTGTAAAGCACTTTGAAGTGACTTGTTTCTGAAATGTCCTATAAAAATAAACTTGATTGATTGACTGACCTTTAAGGTGACCTTACCCACCTGGACACGGCTCTCTGGTGCAGTTGAACTTGCCACCCTGACATGTGCTGCAACACAGAGAAACAGAGCTGATGCTTCAAATCTGCAGATTTATAATCAGTAAAGCATCAGAAACTCAATGAGTTCCTTCAGTCCACATCGTTCTGACCAGTTGTTGCAGCCATCGGGGGCCTCAGTGGACTCTCCTGGCTCCACACGACGCCCAGTGTTTATGTCCAAGCAGGGACAGCCATCCCTCGCTAGGCAGACCGTCCCATTGGCTGAGAGGACCTTCCCGTCAGTGCAGTAGCAGCCCGGCTCACATTGCCACTCACAGTGCTGGGAGATGAGCCAGGATATCGGTTTATATCAACAGGATGAAAGTACAGAGCACAGAGCTTTTAAAACTACACTTTAAACTTTTTCACATTTTGTCACGTCACACCGCCCAACTTTACTGTTCAATGAAAATTTTGGAAGCGTGACATGCATTTTTATTCAAACACAGAAGGAAACACGTTAAAGACGAGCACTCTGCTGGGCTACACTTACTGACAGGTCGTCACAGGACCGAGGGCAGGACGGCCCACAGCTGCTGAAAACCGTTCCTGGCACCTTGGAGCAAGGCGGCACTGGAGCAAACAGACAGAAAAACTGGGAGGAAATTCTTTACAGTACGTTACACACTGGAGACAACTTATTATTTTAAATGGGCTCGCCTCTTTTCATCTTTAGGATCTTTTCAAACTTCAATCTGTATCCAGAACTTTGAGATCAAATGAGTTGCTATTGAATCTCTTCGCAGGAGATCGGGCGTTCTCCGCTGCTGCTCCTGCTCTCTAGAATAAGTTTCCTTTCCTCCTTAAAGCTTATTTTTATACGCTGACATTTAATTGAGGCCCGATACTGTAACTTTTCTATTGTGACATTTCAGTTTTATTTTCTCTTAGTTAATTGATCCTGCTGTGTTATTGTCTTTGTGCGGCACTTTGAAGCAGTTTTAAGCTGTTTTCCAAAAGTGCTGTATGAATAAACTTGACATTGACTTGACAAATGAAATTACGTCATGAGCCGAGTTCCTCCAGGCTACCTGGACAGTGGTCGGTGTTACAGGCCCTGACTTCTGTCCCCAGCCCCTCGCAGTAGCTCCCGGCCCCCTCAGGACTGGGCGAGTCACAGAGTCTCCTCCGGCTCTGGATCCCTCCACCGCACGACTTGGAGCAGTCGGTCCAGTCACTCCACCGACTCCAGGCCCCGTCAACTACAGACGAGATATTACAAAAAATTTTAATTACTAAAAGAAGTACGTTTGTTTTACTGCAACTGTAAATGCATCAAACTGGTTCATTCAGTGCAGCAGAACACTCCGATGCCACCTTGTGCTGTTGGTAAAGTTCATGAACCAAAACTCAACACGTGGTTTGCTCACGGTCACACGGGGGGACGATGCAGACTTGATCCTCACGGTGAGGACCAAGACACGGGAGTCCACTGCCTGACCGCTGGGGACTGGAGCAGAACCGGTACCGAGACTGGAGACCCGCTCCACACGACACTGAGCACCGACTCCAGGGAGTCCATGATGACCACTGGCCGTCCACTGGACACGCGCCACACAACGATGGCGTGTAAACATTACGAGGTTCTACATGTTAGAATATTTTCCAGTTCCAAGACGGGCGTCTTACCGTTGCAGCTGACCCGAGAGCAGTTTACCAGCCTTCCTCTTTCACAGGTACTGGAATGTTAGAAACATGTCTGTCACTTTAACTCTCCCTTAACACGCTTAGAGTTAGCTTGTGCTGCATTTTCCTACCAGTTCTTGCATTTGTTGGGCAGAGTGTCTCCAGGTTTGGATGGCTCTCTACCGGCATCACAGGGACAGTCTGACTGAAGAACACACTTACCGACCTGAAAATAGAAAAGCTTCACAGCTCTTTGAACTTCAGCAGACAGATGCTGTACTGAGAGCTGACTTTTTTCAGTTAAAAATGATTGCAAGGGTGAAGCCGTCCCTGTACTTTGGTGACCTGGACAAGGTCAGTTAGGCCTTCATTACACTGGATTAGCACAGGTCATCTGCATGCAGCTTGTCCAGCAGGACCACATCACTCCCCTCCCAAAGAAGCAGCAGCTGCTTCTGTTTTAGGATTGATTCTGAGGCAACTTCCTTCCTGTTTATTTTTAAATGTTAAAATGAACCGACACCTCATCACCTGAATGATCTTGATATTTCCAGTCTCAAGTTGAAAAATGGAGGACACTGGGCTTTTGCAGCTGCTGCTCCAGAACTATGTGATAAATTCATCTTGCATCTACATCACTGAAATATTTTTAATCGTTTTTCTAAAAGAGGTCTGAATTGATGCTGCTTCTTTATGTGACTTCATTCGATTGTCTCATGATGAGTTGTAGAGCACTTTGGTCAACTGTTGTTGCTTTGACATGAGCTTTATGACCGACCTGCAGGACAGTCCCATGTGGACACTGGCAGCCTGGAGTGCAGTTCCTGCTCAGGTTCAGAGTGAGGTCAGTACAGGTCACAGGTCCCACCACACACTGTGTCCACTGCTGGCCTGGAGGACAAGTCCTGCCCCCACCTGACAGCATATGAGTCACATAAAAACAAGAAGTACAACTCACAATAGATTACCTATATGTATTGTTTTAGAGACTACAATGTATTAGTTAAAGTATAACGATTCAATCATTCTTTGCAGAAACGCGTAAAAACAACTAACAGTGGGGTCAGGAGCAATTTAGGAAAAATTTAAGAATTTAGGAAAAAATAATTGTACTATTCATAAGTGATGACTACAATTGGAGGCCACTACCAGTATTTGATTAAAGAAAAAATAAAACACTTAAAAAATTTCTGAAAAAACTCTGGGAATGATTAAATTCTAAAACACAGAGCAGCATTTGCATATGACAGTAGCTATGCACAAACATGGCATTAACACTTTTGAAGAAACCGTTTTTTACATGATGAATTTGAAGTGAGAATAGCTCAACTTGGAACTCTATTCCTGAGTGAACACAAAAAATAACCTGAGAAACTTTGAGGACAAACTTCAGCCATTCTATGTAGAAAAGAGCTGAGGGTAAAGTACTGTGAGTGTTTTCTGTCTGCGTTGGCAGATACTGACAACATGTGAACATCTCCTCTTGCTTCAAACTTAAGACAAACTAAGGGCTCAATCCATAACCAGAAAAAAGTAGTAATGAAGTGGAGCTGCTCTGAGTTTGCAGGTATAACAGAGGAATTGACTCAAACTCTAGTCACTTCTAATTTTCCTCTCTAATTCTGTGTTTAGGCAACTAGGCCAGTAATAACATTAAGAAAGTCTGTTTTACCTGAATAATGTCAGCTGACAAAATATGAGAGTATTTTGTTATTTTCAAGGAATATTTAAAGTATTTTTAGATGATTTGAGAAGGACCAGAGTTGGTAGCGAATTATGTTGGCTCCTCATTTCTTTCTGGTGCAAAAATACAATTTTTAAGTAGCAACTACAGCTACATATGTATGAGGAGAGCCCACTTATTGAAGGAACAATAACTGATCAGATCAGTGTTACCACACGGCTGCAGGTTACAGGCGCTGAACTGCTGGGCTGTGCCGTGGGTCCTGATTGGCCCGCGGGTCCGGGTCCGGTAACCTCCTCCGCACGTGACAGAGCACTCCGACCACAAGCTCCACGGTTCTCTGATACCTTCAGACACATCACGACACCCGTATCCTTCACGCATCCGTTCCACATCGCTTTGACACCGTCAGTGATGTGGTTGTTCTCACCCAGACAGGGCTCGACGCTGCAGGTATCGACGCCGACTCTCTCTCCTTTGCAGGGACGACCTCCGAAGGCTGGAGGAGGATCGGTTCCTGAGCGGTACCGCCGTCTGATACCCACATCGCACGTCCGAGTGCAGGCGCTCCACTGCGTCCAGCTGCTCCAACCACAGTCCACTATGACACAAAATAACAAAGCAAAAATAATAAATAAATAAAAATAAGCAAAACAAAATAAAATAAAATAAAATAAAATAAAACAAAGAGAACAGGAAAACACCAGTCCATCACATTGTACTCACCTGGGCATGGAGTAGACCCACACTCCATTTCTCCATCAGTGCAGGTACTGTTTACGTGACAGAAGGAGTTAAAGCTGCAGTATTTAACTTTTATACAAATATTTATTTCGCATCTTTGTTGAAACCCTCATTATGTGACTCGTGACAGTATGATATGACACATAACCTGTGAAAAAAAATCTAGCTCCTCTATCTTCTCCCTGTACTGACTAGAAACAACAAATCAGAGCCAGGAGGCGGGTCTTATCGCTGAGAATCATCCTTCATGTGATGCAGCTCATCCCTCTCTCTGCTCCTCTCTTGCTCTCTGCTGTGCTGCAGCTAGCAGAGCCTGTTGTAAATGCTAATGCCAGTTAGCATGGCCACCGATGACGGTTTTCCTGTAACAGTAAAGCCGTTTCTCCACCATTAACGCATTTAGCAGCGAGTACATGAGGATGATTGACAGCACGAAGGCCTTCCCCCTGACTCTGATTGGTTGTTTAAGGTTGGGAGTGGTTCATTTCTTCATACAGCAACAGCAGCTCAGGGAGGTGGAGGAGATGTTCACAGATTCGCTGTCTCATAACAAACTGTCATGACATGGTGACAGTTTTAACAAATAAATAAAAAACATTTTTTAATGCAGCTTTAATGAAAAACGTTCCAACAGAAACAGGACTTGTGGTCTGAAGTGAAAGAATTGCTAAAGAGGGGTACCAGTTGTTACAGGCATCAGCAGGCAGGGTGGCTCCTGCTGGGTGCATCTCCCCCTGGTGGTAACAGGGGCACTGCGCCTGAGGGACACAGCTGCTGTTGAACAGGTAGAACCCCGGGGCGCAGTAGCAGCCGTCGTAACAGGAGGTGGCGCACTGAACGTCTGCGGAGGTCATGTCCATGCACACCCTCGGACACGCCCCGCCCTGAGCCTCACACTCCGCTGCCGTCATGTAGGTCATGCCCTCTGGACACACACCTAAAGGGAAACAAACACACACTCAGTACACCGAGTCTGCTGACACAGAAAACAAACCATAGAGTGTGAGGACAATGTTTTCTGCATGTGTAGAACCTGAACAGGGATGGGAGTTGCAGTCTTTTGTTTGTATGTGAGGCCCAGAGCAGTTACTGCCCCCATGCTGTGGCGTCGGTGAACTGCAGAGCCTCTCCCTCATCTGGACGCCAGAGTCACAGTCAGACGAACAGCGAGACCAGTGGGACCAGAGCGACCAGCCTCCCTGCACTGGAAGAACACGGCTAAAGTTAGCATGTTAAAGGAGAAGTTCACAATTTTTGAAATGATATTCTTTCAAAAGGTTATAAGCAGTTCAAATTTGACCTGCCTTAGATGAATCTCTGTATCTTCATTTAATAAAAATACAGACTAGTCGGTACCGGAGGCAAAG